CTTGACTTTGACAATTATAATTTACTATAAGATAATACAACAAGAAAAGTGGCATTCATATCTCTGACGTATAATTTCTTGTTTTATGTTAATAAAGTTATCAGTATGATAATCTATGTTATAGAAACAAATTTAATTTTTTAAATTCATTAATTATAATTATAATTATAAATTTTATAATTTTATGAATTAATTTTATAAATTTATTATTATGAATTTAATAAATTTAATTTTATAAATTCAAGCAATTTAATTTTATAAATTTAATAAATTTAATTTTATATATTATAATTATAATTAAAAATCATATTTATGTGCTCTGCTTGAAATTTGTAAACTGAAACGATTTTAGTAAAATAATCATCGATTTCTCTGTAAACACAAAACTATCGATAATTAATACAACAATTTTATTTCAAATATTTAATTTTTACATAATTTTCAATATATTTTTATGTTTATGTATTATTATTACTTTTTATGCTTCATATAAAATAAATTAATTATTATAACTTCTGTGAAAATCTCCGAAATGTAATATACATATTAGTTGTCGATGTAATATATCAATTTTAATTTTAAAATTGCATTTGTTCGAAAAAATGTTTATATGATATATAATGCATTCATCATAATTACAAATAAATTCATTATAAAAGAGTGTCATTTTATTATTTAGATATAGAATATTGTAGAAATTGTTTGTTCTTGCATCAATCATGGCATTTTGCATCATTTTTATAATTTACAATGCGCGGCAATGGAACTGTTTATAAGTTGATCTATAATTTACAAAAATGCATCTAAATTATAACAGCATTAAAAAAATTATTTGACAAATAATTATTACGCACATTAAACTTTTACTCATCTCTCTTTAATGCAAATATCTAATAGCAAAATTATATATTTATGTCCAATAATCAAAATATTAAAAATTGCAAATTTTTTATTAAATATTTTAAAGTTACTATGTGCGTTTACATTACGTAATATTTTATATGCAATATTTTATAAATAATAAATAACAAATAAATGATTATATATATATTTACTCTA